AGGTATATAAACACACTAATTGTAATTGTAAATTACCATGCTGTGCCGGAAAACAGACATATGGCAGGTGTCTTCACTCACTGAGCTACACTGCAGCTCTTTAACATTAATGGGCATCTGATTTTTAAAACCCCTATTTTTTCAGCAATGTCTTTCTAACTGATATGTCCCAATATTCCTTCGTTTGATAACTGGTTTTCTTTTTTGTAAGAAATTACAAACTTGACTGAAAAGGAAAAGGCCAGATTTATTAGTCTAAAATATTACTTTATAATGAGAAATTACCATTTAGAGACAAAAAAGACCAGAAGAATGACTATTTTTAGAAATCCTACACTGCCTAGAGACTTCATTTAGAAATATTTCTTGAATTTTTAAATTGTATAATACATACAGTAGATTTTTTAAAAAAATTACCAACACCTACATATACATATATATATTTTACTATATGATATATACCCTTTTCTTTAAAAAATAAAAAAATGACATCATGGAGTTTCATAAACTGTTTTGCCTCATTTAACAATCTATCTCAAACTATGTCAATTTTTATCATATATGGTATTTCTTTTTATTTACTTAGTGTTTTGTTGATCATTGCTTCTAACTTTTAATTGTTAAAATTAAAAAAAAATGCTGTGATGACCATCCTTACCACTAAATTTTTGCAAACATATACAATTATTTCCTTATAAACATTCTTAAAAGATGAAATGATGAGCCAAATGGAAAACACATTTTAAAAACTTCCCATGTGAATCACATAGTAGCCTTTCATGAAGATTGTGCCAATTCACATGCTCATGAGCCAAACACTTGTTTCTGTTATTTTGTTCATTACGACCACGATGCTGTCTTCAAATTATTGTAGTTTCGTAACATCTGGTAGGACAAGGCCTCCCTATCTCTTTATCTTGAAATTTTCCTTATTTCCCAAAGCTTTATTCTTTCAGTTTAGAATCCCTTTGTCAAGGAACACTCCCATATTCCACTAGGATTTTATTGGAATGGCATTGTAGTTTACATTGTAAAAACATTATTCCACATAGGTAATGTAATTTTGTACTCTAAAAAGAATTAATCAAAAATAGATTCTGCCAAGGAAACCAGTACTGTTTAGTAAGCAAGACTGTTTACAGAAGAAAGTCAAAAACAAAAGCGGCTATTCTGAAAAAGAAATCCTTATGGCATAGTTTTAGTATAATAAACAATGATGTATAGTATATATATATTAAACATGAAATTACAGAAAATAGATGCTATTTTAAGAGCAAGATAATGTTTTGAAATAAGGACAGTTTAATACTCAAGTTTTCTTAGACAAGAGATGGGAAAACTTCTAGGAAAAGAAATTGTTCTTTATGATAGGAATCTAATTAAAGTGCCAAGGACTGATAAAAGCATAAGTACAAGAAAGGCAATAATTAATACAGTACTTAGTTCGAATTTGAAAGACTGATAGAAGGAGGGATTCAGGGCCTTTATACTATCCCAAGCTAGGCATATGTAGAAAACACAGACTCAAAGAGAACCACAAACTGCCTGTTAGACAGGCACTGCATCAAGGGAAAACTCTTGAAAATAAGATGGCCAATGGGAAGCTGTTTCTAAAATTCTAAAATCGTAGATCTAGAGAGTCATGGTCCCCTTTGAAAACGTAATGAAGGTTATCATCATCGTCTTCAAAGAAAATGTACATATGTACAAAGAAAATGTACATATGTTCTGCTTATGTGTTAAAGGGCTCAGCATCTTCAGGGTAAGAATGTTTGCCTTGACTAGAACAGACAATTCCAAAATTTACATGAACTGCCAAAGCAGTCTTTTGTAGGTCTTCTCTTCTTTTTGTTTTCTTTTCTTGTGGTTTGATGACTAGAGAGGTTCCTTTAACATTCGTTGTAAAGCTGGTTTGGTGGCGCTGAATTCTTTTAGCTTTTGTTTATCTGTGAAGCTTCTGATTTCTCCATCAAGTCTGAACAAGAGCCTTGCTGGAAAGAGTATTCTTGGCTGTAAGTCTTTTCCTTTCATAACTTTAAATATATCTTGCCACTCCCTTCCAGCTTTTGGAGTTCCTGCTGAAAAATCAGCTGACAACCTAATGGGAGTTCCCTTGTATGCTATTCATTGCTTTTCTCTTACTGATTTCAGTATTTTCTCCCTATCCTTAATTTTTGTCAATTTGATCATTATGTGCCTTGGTGTTCTAGTTCTGTGAAAAGTGTTGTATTTTGACAGGAGTTGCATTGGATATATCTTGTGATTTTGATTTGCATTTCTCTGATATTAGTGATGTTGAGAAACTTTTCACATTCCTTGGGGCCATCTGTATTTCCTATTTTGGAAAAATGTCTGTTCAGTTCTTCTGCCCATATTTTAAATGGGTTGTTTGTTTGCTTTTTAATTGAAGTACAATTGATTTAAAATGTATTAGTTTCTGGTGTATAGCATGGATGGACTTGGAGGGCATTATGCGAGGTGAAATGAGTCAAACAGAGAAAGACAAATACTGT